AATACAATATAAAACAGTAAAAATCAATACAAACATAACAGAACACTATTTATAATATAAAAAGGGGCTTATTAAAATGTGGGAGTATAAGAACTTAGCTTACCTAGTATTACTTGTAATTACTTATAAGGAATAGAGAGAGCAAAGAGAAAGTCGGAAAAGTTTAGCGGAAGGGGAGGGAGTGTATTTTTAAATTTAAAAAAAAGAAAGAAAGAAAGAAAAACTGGGGGTTATGCTACGTATTAGGAATTCTGCAGAATGCGACTGTAGAAACCCTGACCAAGCTATAGACCAAATAACAAGACTCTGCCCTCTATACAAATTTGACAATGACTTTGTAGAGATACAGTCCCTTTCCCCAAGAGCATTAGACTGGTCGACTAACCTTAAATTGGACTTATAATTGTTGCTCCAAGTCAGCCATATGAAAGAAGAAACACATAGGAAAGGGGTGAATTTGTCCAATAATTTATTCACAATCAATACATCATGTGGCTTTAGAAACCATTGCGCTGGAGTTGCAGTCTAGGTGTCCAAGCTGGATATCAAATCTGGTAGGAATCTGCCATTCTCCTGAGTTTCACTAAAGTGGATATATGGCAAATTTCCAAGAAACTATTGTCATTTTTATAACTTTTTATGTCCTCTAAAATCCAAGTTTAATGTTAATTTAGTGTTACTAGCATAAAAAAAATGATCTCTCTCTCTCCGTTTTGAATATGGTACATCGACACACAACATTATCCCCACTGACCTATTCGCTAACTTGAGCTCAAATTTTTGTTGTGATGGTAGCTAGACCACTTCTCTGCACATTCTGCTTCACTGACTAATGCCTAATCTCATGCTTCACTCCCAAGATTTACTGAGGACTGTTTTCAGAGATTCTAAGGTTTCTACTACTTGTCCTTTATAAATTTTAAGTGCCTTTTTTTTGTGGAACTGCAGATTTGTGTGTTCATGATGCTTGACCGGAATTTGTTTGTTCACCGTTCAGATTATAAAGTAATGAGTGTTTCAATCCATATAATCTACTCAATTTTCCCTTTTTTCATGTTTGCAATAGACTTGTAAAGTTGGTTTGATCTAAATTCAATCCACCGTAATTTTTTAAATTTTTATTTAAATCATCTTGAAAGCCTCTAGTGATTTGTACCTTAAATGAGTGTATTTTTCTTTATTCTAAAATTCAACAAATTCAGATTTCAGTTTCTGTTCAATTTAACCCTTTGCTGTTAGCCTCTGCAATTTTTTCTAGTATATTTTTTCCTGGTTCCTGCATGACTCAGGCTCTTTCATTTCCTTCATATTTTTATCCTTCAAAGAATATTACAAACTGTGTGTGTGCATCTTTTAGTCTATTTTGGCATCCTTCCTCGGTGACTCATTTTGTTTTGTTTTTTTAGTGGCCCTATCAGCTCCCTCCATGTGATGTAGGGATCTAATAACTCATAAAAGAGAAAGTATGCCAAAATAAATCTTCCAGTGCTCCTAAGTTTTTTACAACAGTCAATTGTTGATGCTGTTCCTGATGCAATCCCAGGCTGAGCATTAAAAGTGAACTGTCTTCAGATTAGTTTCCAGTTCTTGAGCATCTTCTCCTCTAGGGTCAAATGAGTCAATGCTGCTGTCTTGCCAGATAGGAGCTCTTTATTGGCAGCTCCATAAAGAACCAGCCGACCACATTCCACAAGACAATCTACGCTCCGTATGAAAACATAAATACAAAATCTTGGCAGATATCTTGCTTTTCATAAAATTGTTTTACAATTGATGCTGAGATATCAAATAAAGATTAAAGCCTTGATTATACCAGCCCCTACTCATATGAGGGAGAATATAGTCCTATTTCAATGGCATTACTTATGCAAGTAAGTACTTGTCAGATCAGGATCTAATTTTATTCAACATGAACAAATATTGCATATACACATCTTGCCCCTTATGTAATAAAATGCTTGCTTATAATTTTAGAACAAAAGAAAATAGAACAATATGCTTTTACATAACTGACAGTTTTCTTGTTCACACAAACCAGTTCATTTTAACAACCCAAATGAAAGCACAGAAGTCACTATGAGAGTAACTGGCTATAATGAAGGAAAATATTAATTCAATCTGGTTTTGGTGTAATGGAAACCTGAGGATTCCCCATTTTTCCCTTTACATTCTACACTTCACTCTCAAGACACAAACCACAATCCTGCTGGTCAAGTAGGACTGAAATGCATCTTAATGAAGGCTCAAATGAATTTGGGGATGATCTTTTGGAGGCTGTCTAGAGTATTCAGCAATAAAAGTTATCTCCCTCCATTTCACAAGATTAAGCTGAATAAAGAAAGACCATTAGGTTCAAATTTAAGTAACGAAAGAGAGCTGTATTTGCTTCTACACCTGCCCTTAAGCCTACCTACTCCAGTTCTTTTGTTTTATAAAATATACTTGATATAATGATTTAAAGTGTGGAGCACAAAAGAATCTTTAATAGCCATCATGCCAAAAGCCACACTTACAAAAAAAAATCAATACATATTTAAGAAAGGGACGATTTGTATTCAGAACAGCATACTTTGTACTAACTGCAGTCTGTTCACTAGATTTCTTTTTATAGCATTTTTCAAAGCAAAACCATTTTTCACAGTCAGATCCATTTAACCAAATGGATAGGTAAATAGAAAGCCAATGCATCACTCACTGAATCTACTGGAAGCAAATTTAACCCAATGTGCTGACTTTTGGTCCAGTACCTTTCCAAAAATAGAACAAATTTCTTGGAAGCAAAGATTTACATCTTTCTTATACCAAACCCATTTATATACTGATTACCTAATATTGGTATTTTTGCTAAATTAACTTAATATCAATTTATTTTTCAACTCTTACTTTTTTTTAATAGATAGCAAGTGTTAAATATATGTACTGCAGGGTGGGCAATTATTTTGGATGGAGGGCCATTTTAGGACTTTTGGTGAGCTGGTGACGACGGAGGGGGTGGAGGGGGGGGAAACAGAGACGACTCAGCCCAGGGGGGAGAAAGGAAGCAATTGGTCCTATCTGGCCTGCATCCGTCCACCCCGCACTGACCACTGGGGCTGCTGGATGGAGCAGGCAGGTGAGGTCTCCATGGAGACTGGCCAGGACCTCTGTGGCAGGGTGCACTCAGCCAGGCAGATAGGATGAAGCCACAGGCAGCAGGGAGCAGAGTCCAGGAGTGGAATGGGCAGATAGGGGTGGGGGTCAGGGACAGGATCATGGGGCAGTGATAGCATGGGGCTGCTGGGAAGCGGAGTTTAGCCGCAGCACCAACCCCACCCTGTTGTGTGTCCAGGGGTGGTGCAACCTTCTACACATGCCGTGACCTGGGCTGCCACCATTAGTGTCTCTGCCATCACCAGCTCCGGTCTCATTGCCTGTGCACCCCAGCCCACCCTCCCCGTACCCACCACTGGGGTTGCCATAGTTTCATAGTTGGTAGAGTCAGAAGGGACCTGAGCAGATCATCAAGTATGACACCCTGCCATGGCCAGGAAAGAGTACTGGGGTCAAACGAGCCCGGCAAGGTGTCCGTCTAGACTCCTTTTAAAGACCCCCAGGGTAGGAGCGAGCACCACTTCCCTTGGAAGTTGGTTCCAGATCCTAGCCACCCTGACTGTGAAGCAATGCCTCCTGATATCTAGCCTGAATCTACTCTCCGTCAACTTATGGCCATTATTCCTTGTTACTCCCAGTAGTACTTGGGGGAACAGGGACTCTCCCATTGCCTGCTGGTCTGCCCTGGTCAGTTTATAGATGGCCACCAGATCCCCTCTCAGCCTTCTCTTGTGGAGGCAGAACAGGTTCAGGTGTTGTAGCCTCTCCTCATAGGGCCTGCCCTGCTGCCCCCTGATCATGCGAGTGGCCCTCCTCTGGACCCTCTCCATGTTGTCCACATCCCTCCTGAAGTGCAGCACCCAGAACTGGACGCAGTACTCCAACTGCACACTGACCAATGTCATATAGAGGGGGAGGATCACCTCCTTGGACCTGCTCGTGATGCATCTGTGGATGCATGACAAGGTGCAGTTAGCATTCCTGACTGCATCCCCACATTAGCGGCCCATGTTCATCTTGGAGTCATTATAGCCTTAAGATCCTTTTCTGCCTCTGTGCTGATGAGAAGGAAGTTCCCCAGCCTGTAGGTATGCTGCTGGTTCTTTCTCCCTAGGTGCAGTACCTTGCACTTGTCAGTATTGAATCCCATCTTGTTCTCATCCGCCCACTCCTGTAATCTGTCCAGATCCAATTGCAACCTGTCCCTCCCTTCTAGCATACCTACTTCTCCCCACATCTTACTGTCATCTGCGAATTTGAACAAGGTGCTTTTCACCCCCTTGTCCACGTCGCTGATGAAGATGTTGAACAGTGTGGGCTCAAGGACTGAGCCCTGTGGAACTCCACTGCCCACATCCCTCCAAGTCAAAAACGACCTGTCCACCACCACTCTCTGGGTGCAGCCCTCCTGCTAATTGGTGACCCATCTTACTGTGCAGGCATCAACACCACAGTCACCTAATTTTTTTTAATGACGATGGGGTGAGAGACAGTGTCAAAGGCCTTCCTAAAGTCCAGAAAGACTACGTCCACTGCGACACCTGCGTCCAAGGATCTTGTAACCTGGTCATGGAAAGCCACCAGGTTGGTCTGACAGGACCTGCCTCTAATGAACCCACGCTGATTGCCCCTAAGTATACGCTCCCCTGGCTTGCCCCTCGCAGATGTTCACCTGGATAATTTTCTCAAAGAGCTTCCCCAGGACCGAGGTAAGACTAACAAGCCTATAATTTCCTGGGTCCTCCTTCCTCCCTTTTTTGAAAATGGGGACCACATTGCCCCTTTCCCAGTCCTCTGGAACCTTGCCAGAGCACCACAAGTACTTGTAAAGCTGTGCCAGAAGGAGCAGGGCTCGCCTTGCCCTGTTACTGTCCCATGATCCAAGCCCCAGTCCCCACCTGCCTGTCCCACTCTTGGATGCTGCTCTTCACCTACCCACAGCCTCATCCCATCCACCAAGCTGAACACCCGCTGCCTGCAGGGGTCCTGCACTGGTCTTTATGGAGACCCCACATGCCCGTTTCATCTAGCATCCTCAGCAGTGGGTGTAGAGTAGATGGGGTAGGATATCTAAGCAGCAGGGCTGGGTCCAGTAGTGGCAGAGACACTGGCAGCAGCAGCAGCCAGAAGGAGTCGCCACCACAGTGCTTCCAGGAAGCAGAGTCCAGCCACCCCTGACCCAGGGGCAGTGGAACCAACTGCACACACCACAGCTGACCCCCACATCTGGGCCAAGTGGGGCCAAAGGACCCGTCACAGGCTAGATAAAATCCTTGATGGGCTACATCTGTCCCATGGACCATATTTTGCCCACCCCTGATGTACTGCCTTCATCTGTAACACACATGATATTACTTCGCTTATTCCCATTGAGTTTGGAGTCACAGTCACATGTAAGCAGAGTAATACTGCTCAGAACATTTCAAGGAAATGTACTGCTAGTGAAATGTTCACATTTTCCTACATTCTATTTTCTGTCAATCACTAATGAGCAGTTAGCAACCAATTTATACATTAACCTATTTAAAAAGTCAGCATTACCAATCCCTACCACACATAGATATTTTGCTCCACATTTAAATAACTACATATATAAAATAACTGAATATTAGAAGTTTACAGAACAAAAATAATTGTGTCCTTCTGTGGATCATTATTTCTAATAGGTTTTTCCATATACAATTAACTCAACATTTAGAGCTAGCTTTCCTCTCCATTCCATTCTGAGAAAGGAGCAGCTATGATCTGAAACCAGGCTGTCACTCAGCACAACACCAGGCTATGCAGAGATACCCAATTCAAACTAACTTTGGTACCAGAAGCAATACTGCCACATTAACATGGTGCCATGCAGACATATCCTCAGAGTCATGACTTTGTCTCTACCAATTCTTTGTTTCAGAGGAAAGTAGTCTGGTCCTTTACTGTTTGCAGATCACTCTCTGCAAAGACTCAGCAATCCTGGTGTACAGACTAAGTACTCCCTATACATCCTGTTCACTTGTAAAAAACAGAGTGTACTCCCCCTAATCTGTTCCAATCTGTGCTGCAGGCAGCCCAGGCTGAGGAATGAGCCCAGCAACACCATAGTCCCATGTATTTATATCTAGGGTAGCTGACAACTGAGTGAAATGCTAAAAAAAAGACTATATTGCAGCACCAGTATCTCACAGGGCAAGAGAAGACTGAGGCAATATTACTTCTATAGCTATTATACTCACCTTCCTTCTGTTTCTCAGATTAACTCTTTTTTGAGGTACAGGCCAGAGGTCTTTTTTTATGACTTTTCACAATGGATCATACAGCACAGTATGTCAGTGCTTTGGTATGTAGAAGTCTGAATAAGGTAATGTTTTGTATTCAGCTTTCAAAGAAAGAGTGCAGTATCCAAGTAAAAAAAAACACTTAATGCACATAGAAAACATAATAGATGGTACATGGAATCTATGGGTACTTTTCAAATAAACATTTCAGATGATAACTGTATATGCACACTTCCCTACTTTGTTACTACTATATACACATACACCTCTATACCTTACCACAGAGATAAATATGTTTTTCTCTGATCTTAGTTAATAGATACCATCTCAGTGTTTATAGCATAACCATAACAAGTGGTGTGTCAGTCAGCTGGACTCTTTAAGCAGCATCACTGTCCTTTCTAAAGATTTCAGAAATCTGTCATCACACAATCAGTCTGGGGTCTCCATAACTAGGAACCAAAGTCAAATGCTATAATCTAAAGCAGAGCTTTCCAACTGTCCATAGGCTGCATGTGGCCCATGAGGGGTTAACATGCAGCTCCTGGGCTCTCACCCAGCTGCTGCTCTCCCTATTACTCTGACTGCAATACAGACTCCCCTCTTCCTCCTCCACTTGCCACTTCCTGCCTTCACCCCAGGGAGTGGGGCAGGGAGGCAGCACAAGGATCTGAAGCAAGTCTTGGGCTGCTCCCAAGGAGAGGGAAGGGAATCAGGGCCACGTGCAGTGGTGGGAAGTTAGGGGGTGGAGAGGGGAAGATGAAATCAAGCATCACAAAAATGGCGGGGTGGGGTGGGGGGAATGGAATGGAATGGAATGGAATGGAGGAGGATTGCATGTGTGTATCCACATGTTGCAGCAATGGGGAGGGGAGCATCTATGTGGCACATCAGGTGTAGCCTCCAGGGGCTTAGAAGTTGGATAGCCCAGATCTAAAGTTTGTGGGTTACATACACACAAAGTAAAGAGAATATACAGATCTAGGGAATCTGATTTCTCCTATTTGAAACTTTCCTTTGGCACTGATACATTCAGAGGCAGCACTAATATCCATTCAGCACAAAGAATATGCAGAGGTGATACTGCATTGCTGATTCGGCTTCAGTTTTATTACATGCACAGAGTGGTTAAAGAGGATCGAGGGTCCTGTATGGTGAATTTTACCCATAGTGAAGCTGTTCTGTGCAAAGATGAATTCTCTGTAAAGGGTCCCGCTCTACTGGAATCCTTGCCAAGATCTGCAAAGACAATCCCAAATGTATATAGCCCTGTGGCTGTTCCAGGCTATATACATTACACTGCAGCTGTAATTCAAGAAAATGATCAACCCTTATCAAATTTGACCATATTAGAGTCACTGGGAATTATTTCCTGTGCAAGAACCTGATCCTTTAAGATGCTGAATGGCCTTGAAGGTACTCACTGGGTCATAAAACCAAGCCTATGGGTTCTTAATGGGAACATGTTGAAGTGATACTGAGGAGAGTACATGGTCTGCTCAATACTAGGCCCTACCTATAAGATGGTGATGTCTATAGTGTCATGTCCCTTTTTATGGTATTGAGCTCAGTTGGCCAAGCTAGCAGATCCTAGCCTTTGTGCATTCAGCATGCTGCTGTTGCTGCCTGTGCTAGCTGCACAGCATTTCTTTAGACTGTCTACTCCTTTTCCAGCCCACCCATGAGATGGCAGGCCCTGACATTTAGTCTGACAAGCACATATTTCTGTTCTAACTGTTTCTGTTTCACTCCCTTGCAGTTCAGAAAGAAAATGGCTTTTAACAGCAAGTCTGCCTTAACCAACTTGTGTGGGCTCCAGTTCTCAGACTGAGTGTAAAACAAAAAATTGCTTCTTCAAATTTATTTCTTTCATTCAGAGACCAGAGCTTCTTTGCACAACAATTTGTCGATGTTTTTGTGATCTTGGACAAGAATTCAGGTAGAATTTTAGAGGAGAATGCTGGGTCTTCCAGTGAAGTATAAATAACTGTTGAGAGAACATGGTGCAAATCTGATGGTAACAACAGTAGGTAGTTACTTACAGATAAATAGTGTTGCTCATGTTAGCATCTCTGCAGCTGAAATAGCCTTGCTTATCACCCACAAAAATCCCTGCTTTCAGTGTAATAGAGAGATTTTGTGTACTGCCCATTCAGTTATTCTTTCCTTTCTTGTTTCCCCCAGATCACTGAATGTGATGAAAGACAATCTCCAAGACTTTATTTCTTTCCTATTTTTTGTAAAAAAAAATATTGATTGGGGGTAGGAAGACAACATGCAGACACTCTGCTATGCAACTATACAATGACTTCTCATAAAACTGGCCAAAAGCTTCTCAAAACTCCTACAAAGGGCAAATAAAATATGTGGTTTAAAAATACCTGGCTTCAGAAATCACTCAGCAGGTGAGTGATAGTCATTAATAGAAACTGTAGGAACTTAGAACTGTGCAGGATCTGACTCTTGAAATGATTCTATATCTTTACTCTCAGCCACCAAAGCATCCAGGCTTTTAAAATTAGGTGAAGCAGAATCATTCTTTCAATAATTATTTAAACATATGTTCAAATGGAACTAGTGACTATAACCTACCTATTATTAAGAACATTTTTTATAAAGCTTTTCTGTTACAGCCTTTTTCCATAACAAAAGGAGATGTTATCATACCCCATGGAATGCATAGTAACTTTATTAAAAACTGCTGAAGAACTATTCTCTCCTTGAGACTTGTAGCTATATATATATACATACACACACATATATACACATACACACACATATATACACATACAAAGAGAGAGAGAGCGAGAGAGCGAGAGAGAGAGAGAGAGAGGGCCAGGCTATCTTTAGAAATTTCCTTTTATTGTTTGGATTTTCTCCCCAGCTGAATGTAAGTGCTTGTAACAATTTGCTGAATGATTTAAAATGACTGAACATCCCTTGGGGTTACCATCAGCTGGCATCACTTCAGTTGCATTATTTGGGTTACAAGTGATCATAAATGTTTCCTCAACATATCCAAGCTGCAAATACTTACACGCTTTCTCTGAAACCCCCTTCCCCCCACAAACAAGCTATTATTTTTCACTGACTGAAACTTGTGGGCTTCTTTTCAGACCAAAAATATGAATGTTGTCTAGGTACTGACCTAGTCATCCTTCTTCCCAAACTTCCCTTGCTAAAAAGCCATAGCACCAACTATATACCAGTTCTTTATGGGTTTTCTTTGCTGCACCCATGAGACACAGTTAAATGTAAATAATATTTCCCTGATGTAGGACAAAATTAGAGACTTGCTATTAAGGAGGTTAATGTTAGTGATGGGAACTGAACTTACAGAAAGCCCAATATCTGAATTATAGCAACATATTTGCTGCTTATATTTAAAGACCATTCCTATATTTGATATCACATCTATAAATACTGTGTTATCTAGTTGAGTTGTCATCATGAGTGTAAGCCATAACTTCTGTGGCACAGAAACCTGTGTAACCTACCTGGATTCCAAAGTTACTGAAGCCAATGCAGCACTTACTGGTGACCCTCCCTGAAGTGATCACATGACAGGTTAGGGTTACGTAACTGCTCACCTCCACTTACACGGGTTAAATCCATGATACAGCCTCACCTGGCTGACATGTGTGACAGTAGGACCTTTGAGGATGAAACTAGAAAATGTGTAAAGCAACCTGCAGGGTGATGATGTATTATGCAGTCTGAACAAGAGTCTCCATAGTTATAACCTATGGGAGGAGGGGAAATGAATAGTGACCCCACTCCTCCCAACACCCCTTAATGCTGAAATGGTTTTCATTTCCTTCCCCTACAAAAAGACTCGGTCTTCTGGTTACATCAAGTCTCTTCCTTTTACCAACATTGTGAGAGAGTTGTAACCAAGGATCCTGGTTTTCTCTGATAAAAAAAATCCCAAACTCTCTGATTACCCTCCCCTCCCTTCCCCCATCAATCTACATTTTCCCATGATTAAAACAAAACACCACTATATTTTATTTGGATTGATATGGTGTTTTGTTTTAATCACAGAAAAATGTAGATTTTAAGGGGGGGTTTAATCATGGAATTTTAGACTGTTTTTTTATCAGCAAAAAACAAGATCCCTGGTTATAACTGCTCTAGGACTTGCAAGGCTGGGGAGATAAGGCCAAGGTTCACACAGGTATGACTGAGTTTTAGCAAGAGCTTATTTATATTAGATTTTGTCTCCCCAAGGCAACTGTGACTCGAGAGCAGGGTCATTTGCCTTCCACCAGCTGGTGAACTTTCTCCATTATCCGTCTTGTGGAACACAGGAAACTTCTCTTTTTACCTAGGTTTAACAAACCTTTTATGACCACATAGCCCGAGCAAAAGATACAGTCCTTCACTGTTGTTTAAATCTCCTTATTCTAGCACAGTATGTACTTAGATCTATAATGCACTGCTATTTCTAATTATTGTAACTAGGTACTTGCTACATAAAACCCCTACTCCAGTTAGTTATCAATAGGTTATAGTCAAAATGTCACCTTAGTGTAAAAATAGGTAAGAAGGAAGCATGGGGGCTACACTGGAAGCATTCCAACCAGTGTATTTTTCACACAATATCATCATCATATAATCTGACAGGTTACAAGCTCACCAAGGATGCCAAACCATCTGGCTACAGGAGATTAACAAATGTGACTTTAGTTATTGCTTGAATTTCATGCCACCTTCAAGCTGAGAATAAGAGCACTTTTGCCAAGAACCTCAGGGAGAATTCTGATTCTTTCAAATTATTCTTGCTCTCCCTAGACCTTTGTGTGTGATGGGGCTTGTTGTTGTTTTTAAAAATTCATGGTTCTGAGGAGCAGCTTTCTCTGCAAAACGATTGTTTTCCAAATCCATGCTGGTAACTTCAACTCCATTAAAGAAAGGGTAGTTTTAATTTGAGCCCTTTCTTCAAATTAAATATCTAAAGCGTGCAATGCATAGCTAATTAATCCTGGATAACTATCTTAATTGGAACGGAGCAAACACATAGTATTATGTCTTTTCAGTGCTGAAATGCTATTTATTAAAAACTCAGCTTAAACCTCATTTAATATCATTTAGCCCACATTTTCAAGTGGTTACAGCCTACCCTGTACCACCATAGTTCTGACACAAAACACAGGTATGAGAATTGTAGCAGGGTAGGGTGCCTAGGGGTAGCCGTGTTACCCCCAGGTCCTAAACCATGCCAGTCTTGCCCTACAAGCACCCTCATTCTTGCCCACCACATCTTGTTGGTATGATGAATACAGGGAGGCTGCCCTTGGGCTTTAGGTTTGGACACAGTCTGGCTAGATCCTATTAACCCTGTTGTTTCTAGACCCCTTGACCTCCCGCTTCACTATGGACGGTTCCCGAGTCTCTCAGCGTTATGGGCCATATGCATGGCTCCAACCACCCTTTTACCACACCCCAAGCCTCACAGATGATGCTGGCATTGTAGGCCTCATTATAATTCGGCCCCTTGTCTGCGCTGGGCTCTCCTCAGCCCTTGTCGCTGCGCCCCTCAGCGCTGGGCTCCGTGCACTGCAAATGCCACACCCTCACTAGTGCCAGGGTCCCCACGCTGTAGTGGGCCCCCAATGAGGCCTCCTCCTTCCCCCAATAGCCTCACCCAAACCACCAACAACAGCCAACCACGACGAGTCTCTGGGCTGTAACGTAACACAAAACTCACGTCACACTCTGCCCCTTTAAAAGAGAAAAACTCCCTCTCTGAGGCTCAGTGCCTAGTAGACAAGGATACCTTATGGGCTCCTGGTGTCCCCTTAGTTCTAAGGGTAGCGTATCTGCCGGCTACCACATCTCTGGGCCCTTCCTTCCTGGAGGCTACTTCCTCTTCGGCTGCTGATAGGGAACCAACTGGCTGGTCCCAGCCCTGGGGTTTATATGGGCCGAGGGCCCTGCCTCCTCCAGCCAGCTGACCAGGTGCAGGCACTGCCAATTCCCTCATTAACCGGTTGTCATGGCAACCTGCACCTGGGTTCTTATCTGGCTCTGTGCTCTCTCCCCGGGCAACCTCTGCTCTAAGAGGAGCAGGCACCTTAGTGCCCTGCGACAAGAATAATCAAATATGCATATAAATGTGAATTTGAACCTGTAACTTGGGGTATTAAACAGTGGCAGAATATAAGAAAATGAAATTTTGTGAGCCATTTTACAAGCCGCTTTTGAAAAACACAATCTCTAGCACAATCTTCTGAAAAAGGTTTAGTGTTTTAATGGTACACAGCTCTCAGCTCTTGTTTGAAAAATATTTTCAGAAAAAGACTTTAGTTTTCAGCACTTCTCTCAAGAATTGGCAAAGAATAAAAGCTACCACTAGAACAACAAGTAAACAGCAAATATTTATCTTAGGCAAAATCACAGCATTGTCACTGTTGTCAATACTGAGCATTGCCTTTTTCTGACATTTTAAACACAAAACAAAATATTAGAGAGATTTCAACCAGAGAGGTGCTTAGACCACACGTTTCTCACAAACCCCTTCATTCTTCTACAGTTGCTCACAATTATCAGCAATCTGAGGTCCTGTCTTAATTTCAACCATTTTTTTTTATACAAAAGTCTTGCATTCTTGGCTGAAATAAGTGGTCACAGAAGTGATTGTGCCTATAGACTGGTGGTAGCTCATTCACGACTGGAGGGAAAGAACATGGTTATACTAAAAGCAAACATCTGACCAAGCATTTTACTATACACATCAACTTACAGAAATGACATATACTTCTCACTGAGTGATATATCCCTTTAAGGATCTGCATTTAAAAAGGCAAATGGAGATCAAAATAATTGGCTTATGGTTATTCTTCAGATAGGACCAGACACAGCAACAGAACACAGTGGTCTCAATTACATGATAATAAGCTGATAGAATTTCATTTTACCTATTAAAGACAGCACAGACAGTGTGAGCCTAGCATCCATTCCAAGCATTATCTTCAACTTAAACTTTCCAGAAAATGTGTAAGTTAATGGCATCCCACTCATTAACCAGTAATTCTAAAAGGAAAATAAACTGTTTTCCACATGTGCCTAGGTCACGTTTTTCCCTGAAGGATAATTTACACAAAGATTATTACAGCTCTCTTATTACTGCCTGAGGCAAACTATAATTGCGTTCATGCCCATCACTGACAAAATACATCTGGTAACACACAGCCTGACAGAAATGAAATTAGAAGTATATCATAATGTGCACACATGTTCAAGGCTGATATTTTTTAACGAGTAACCAAGCTCTCGTGGCTCATGGGTTGGTAGAGCTAGCACTTTAAACAATTAGGATTAAACCAATACATGAAGTCATAAGCCAGGTTTATTCACTGTTTTAGTAAACTGCTGCTGCAGAATCAGTAACTGATTCTTAAAAAGTCAACAGTTTATTTCTCATGTAAAAAGTTTGTTGTTTTAGTTTCTTCTGAGGGGGGAAAGCCTATAAATGGGCAAGCCTGAATCCATCATTTAGACATGAAAAACATACATCAAGTAATTCAGTTCACAATTTAAGACTGTTGTTTTGTATCAGCATGGCCAAAAAAAGGCTTTTAACTAGCAGAGAATTCTACATATTCACATGAGTGTTAGACTCAGAATGTCTCTCTTTTACCCATTTAGAACATTTAACTACACTGTAGCTTGGCTGGCATTAAATCTCTTCAAATAAACAAACAAACAAACAAAAAAATTGGCTGAGCTTGTCAATACACTGAATCTTCCCATTGTGCTGTTCAAGCTGAATAGTGAAACCCTTTCCCAGACTCAGCTTCTAAACTAGGTGTGACCAAGATGCAACCCACTGGCCAGATAACATGGCCCACAGGGCTTCCCATAGGTCCAGAAACTTGGTGTTGTGGTGCTGCAGCTCCTACCAATAAACCCTGCTGCTGCTCACCCTGCCACAAAATTTCAGGACCCATAAAGAGCCCCACAGACTGAATCCAGAGTCCAGAGATGTGTCATCAAGCTTCCAAGGCTGTTCACAGGGCTGAAAATTTGGTGCTGGGAGGAGCACTGGGTGCTGAAGCAATTATTGCTGCCAGTGCCCAATTCTAGCCCTGTGAGCTAGATGACATGGCTCTGGCCTGAGGACTTGCCCTGCATGACTGATCTGTACCTTCAGACCACGAGCTGAGCACCACTGCTCTAGACCAGTAAACACAGAAAGAATTGTATGCCCAGTCTCACTGATGCCCAACTATACTGTTCTCCCACACTAACCCATGGTTAAAACAGACAGGGTGAAAACCCTGGCCCCATACAAGTTAAAAGGAGTTTTGCCCTTAACTTAAACAACAGTCACACTTTCACCCATGGATTCAAATTCAAAGGGTACAATTGTATGGTACAGTACAGTATAGTGCTATGCAGAAATGCCCAAACTAACTTAGGTACCAGGAGCACACTGGCACTGTAGTCCACCCAGGGTACTCTACCCTGCATCTCAGAAGGAATAATTGGCCCCAATGGGGTTCCTTGCCAACACTGTTATTGTGGTTCCAAGGCTTGAGCTAGCTCATTCAGAGCATGTTTGGGTATCTCTGCACATTACTGCTTGGTGCCATTCAGACAGAACCATAGAAAGATGTTGAATGTGTTCATTTTCATGTCAGTACCCAGTGTTTATATTTAGTTAAAATCTATTTCAGAGAGATGCTACAACACAAACTCTGGATATAAACCAAGGTATTTGGTCATACCTGTACAAAAAAATAACAAGCCTCCTATCTGTTATAGTTGCTCATGGGACAACTAAGGTATTGCAACTAGTTGGCTCAGTCTTTCAGTCATTTTTCTCTGCACTGGCCTACATGCCAGGCTTATTCATTCATTTTGTAAGGCTTGTACACAAATAGGTCAGCCATCATTACTGCAGCTCTAGCACTCCATATGCTAACTCTTTCATGAGAGTTTTCACCTTTATTTCAGAATTAATGATGCATAAAGGACCGCTGCCTCAACCTTAATAGTTCAAAAAAAGAACCAAAGCACCTTGAAGGTACAAGTAGGTAGAACAAAAAGGTTGTTTATTTCTACAATCCGTTGAACTCCTGCAATATGACTATGCTTTGGGTATTTTCTCTCTCATTTTAATCCATAAATTAGCAGATTATCAAGTTATTTTAAGCAGTCAGAAGTACTGCCTTATTGTGGGGGATGTCTTGACTTTATATAACCCAGCCTCTCTAGGTGTAAGAAGATAGAAGACATTTTGATTGATTAAAATGCAAAACTCTTTAGAGCACCTTTCAACACCATCCATGTAAAAACAGAAGAGAACAAAACAATGACTAAAAATAACAAATGACAAACACATACAACACATCTGTTAGTTGCTTCATGACCTACTTTCATAAAACAGAAAGAAAACAGGTGTCTGGCAAATCAATCTTCAGAAAAGCTTAGCCTTTGTGCTCTTCTGCCCTGTAGTCCACTGTATCATGTAACCCTAAGAATGCTGAATGTTACCACCAGTTCTTTATACACACACAAACACACTTTTCTTATAACTTGTGTAAAATGAGCATATGGTTAATTATAACACTGGAGTGGCACTTCACACTCCTCTACATTTGTGTGCAAGAAGATTTATATGGGACAAGAGTAGGAAGCAGACAGAAGAAACAATGAGCTCCTTTCTCTGACTGACACATCATTAGAAGGAGGAGTTTAGGGGACAGGCCTGGGACAGCTTCTAATCTAAAAGGAACGAAAAGTTACTAGGGTCCCAGAGCTGGTATGAAAGTGGAGTTCCTAGAAGCCAAGTGGTTAGAACTGAAAACAGTGGATGAACTAGATTCAAATCTGTCCTCTTTCCAAGACTGAGCAGGAAGCTGAACCCCAGTCTCCTGCTTCCCAAGGGCTTGCCTAACAACTGGGCTTCTAGGATATCCTGGGACACACTTTCTTTCTGTAAACCAAAGACTACTGAATTATGGAACAGGTAAGATAGGAGAATCAGAGGGAATATATAATACAGTGGTTAGGGCATTCTTCTGGATGGTTCAGCTCCCTGCTTCCAAACAGGCAGAAGATTGAATTTCCACATCCTAGGGGGCTTTTGAATAAAAACCAGTGTGGGGCAACCTGGTGTGGGTGCTTAATTCTAGGAGAGGTTCATGGCTGAAGGAGGTGTGTGAGCCTTTGAGTCACTATTATCCCCTTAAGTTTCTCCTAAGTATGTCATAATAGCTAGTTTCTTCAGCTCCCTGGTAGTATGTTTGTTTCTGAAGATCTATTCTGAGATGCCTAACATGCCCTATATCTGAAAATAAAACTAAGCAACAGGGCAGGTTGATGTTGGAAAACCTCACTGCAACATTTCAGTGCCTTTGTGAACCTAGCCCAAGAAGGGGCAAATATCTATTTCCTTGAACATAAGAGGAATCAAATGACAAGATATCTTTCCTTTGCTCACAGTTCCAAGCCTCTTTGTTAGCTTTTAAACCAAATTTCTTGTTCTGCAGCTTCTTATGGTAATGCTCCCAGTGCTTCCGTGGCTTCATTTCATTTTCCCCTGCTGTCTTCTTCAAGCATGTTTGTCCTTCTCCTCCCTTCAAGTCACACATACTTCTACCGAAAAAGTACCCACTTGAACCCCTGCATCTATACAGTTCTTTAAGTGGCCTTTGTTTTGAACAGTGACACGTCTGTTTTGGTGGAAGGCTCCTGTGGTTCTGCCTACATGGGTCCATAAAGGAGCTTGTAGGCTCCTTACAATGTTTTAAATGAAGACTGTGAATGATGGCTCGTAGTTTCAATGACGTTTAACACAACCAGAACAACAACTTAAAGCATAAACATAAGATAGAAAAAATATGTTAAACCCGGGGTCAGCAATGTTTTTGGGCTGAGTGCCAAAAACCTCTGCAACCTTGACTTGGAAGATATTAGCATGCCAGGGGCAGA